TCCACGCCGCCGCCAGGAGCCCCCTCGGCCTGAGGACCTCGTCGCCCTCCACCTCGCTCCCTCGTCTCCCTCCTGGCGCCGTCCCGACCGCATCGCCCTGGCGCCAACGCCCGCCGCCCCGTCTCTACCCCGCCAGCGCCGCCTCCCCACCAGACCGCCCCGCTATCATCTCTTCCCCGCCGGTCCTCACCGACCCTCGCCGCACGTCGCCTCGACAACGCTGTGAGCCGCCCCCCGTTTACCTCCTCCTCTTCCCATGCGTTCACCGCGCCGCCCGTCGTGCCCCTCGTCGCGCGCACGCGCACCACCGCGCCAGCCTCGCCCCGCATCTGTGCCAGGCCCGCAGCCCCCCCGCTGCCGAACTGATGCTGCTGCCGCACGCGCCGTGCCCGGCCGCGGCGGTTCCGCCTGGCTGCGCCCCGCGTCTCCCCATCATGCCACATCGCATTCTTCTCGCTACGCCGCTGGCGCTGGCGCCAGCGGTTTCCTCTGCCCGCCTCGCGCACCAGTCGCGCCCGGCAGCGCCCGTAGCCCGCACGCCCCCCACCACGCTCCCCCTCCGCGGCCACCTTCGACGCCCGGCGCCACGCCGGCGCCCCGACGCATCCCCTCGCCCATGGCCGTTCGGGCCAGTGCCCCAGACCGCGCCCGTTAAGCCGCTCCAGTGGCCTATGTGCCACTGGCAGCAGGGGTCCCTTGGGGTATGACAAGTGGGGCCCAACCCATAGAACAAAAAAGAGAAAAATAATAATAATAAATATATAAATTAATTAATCAATCGATTAACTTAATTAAAGTTTGCTTAATTAACTTAATCTGGTAATTATCTAACTAATCAATAATTAGTTAGATGAGTATATGACAAGGGGCCCCACACATTGTTGACCAGTCAAACGTTGCCTGGTCAACAGGGTCCCCCTGGCCCACTTGTCATCCTTTGTGTGCACTTCTGTGTACACAGAGCTGGGTACCCATAGCATTTTGTCTTTTATTTTTGAATTAATAATAATTTCAGAAAATGAATAAAACGTTGAAAAATCATATAAAATAAACCGTAACTCGGATGAAAATACTTTGTACATGAAAGTTGCTCAGAATGACGAGACGAATCCGAATACGCAGCCTGTTCGTCCGCCACGCGTCCATAGCATAGTGAACGTGCAATATTTCACCTCCGGTTCATCTGTCCAAAAACGTGAAACACCGGGGATACTTTCCCGGCTGTTTCCCCCCTTCACCTGTATCACCTTCTATCGCATTAGGGCACACCTAGCACCGATCATTGTCATGTCATGCATCATCATGCTTATGTTTGCATTATATTTATTGTTTCTTCCCCCTCTTCCCTTGGGTAGTCTACAAGACCGACGTTGTTACTACCCCAGTCGACTACGGAGTTGACGACCCCTCCTTCTTGCCAGAGCAACTAGACAAGCCCCACCCCCTTGATCACCAGATATCGCCTACTCTTCCCTCTACTTCTTGCATTAGAGTAGTGCAGGATGTTACTGTTTCGGTTAATCCTATTTTGTTGCATAGCCTGTCATTGTTGCTAGAGTTGTTGATACCTTACCTGCAATCCCAAATGCTTAGTATAGGATGCTAGTTTATCATATGTGGCCCTACATTCTTCTCCGTCTGCCTCGCTATACTATCGGGCCATGATCACTCGGGACATGATCACGGGTATATACATACATACATACATACATACATACGTACATACATACATACATACATACTATACGTGTGGTGACTAAAGTCGGGTCGGCTCGTTGAGTACCCGCTAGTGATTCACGGATTGGGGGCTGAAAGGACATTTGTCCCAACGGCCTCTATGTGGATCTTTGTGGTGGAGCGACAGGGCAGGTTGAGACCACCTAGGTGAGAGGTGGGCCTGGCCCTGGTCGGTGTCTACGGTTACTTCAAAATAACACGCTTAACGAGGGTATTTGATCTGAGTCTGGCCACTGGCCTATACGCACTAACCAACTACGTGGGAAAAGTTATGGGCACTCGACGTCGTGGTATCAGCCGAAGCCTTCTTGACGTCAGCAACTGAGCGGCGCGCACCAGGTTGGACTGAAACGCCTGCTCTTGTATAAGGGAGGCTAGGTCTGCTCACTGACTACGTACGCAACGTGTGTGCAATGGGCGATGGGCCCAGACCCCTGCGCGCACAGGATTTAGACCGGTGTGCTGACCACTCTGTTGAGCCTAGGTAGGGCTGCGACGTGTTGATCTTTCGAGGCCGGGCAATGACCTAGGAAAGTGTGTCCGGCCAGAGGGATCGAGCGTGTTGGGAAATGTGGTGCATCCCTGCAGGGAAGTTTATCT